CATTAAACCCCTACAACTCATCCAGAACGCTGCAGCCCGTCTGGTGTTCAACCTTCCCAAGTTCTCTCACGTCACCCCGCTCCTCCGCACACTCCACTGGCTTCCAGTTGAAGCTCGCATCTGCTACAAGACAATGGTGCTTGCCTACGGAGCTTTGAGGGTAATGGCACCTCCTTACCTCCAGGCTCTGATCAGTCCCTACACCCAAATGAGGGCATTGCGTTCTTCCACCTCTGGCCTGTTGGTCCCCCTACCTCTGCGGAAGCACAGTTCCCGCTCAGCCCAGTCAAAACTGTTCGCTGCTCTGGCACCCCAATGGTGGAACAAGCTCCCTCACGACGCCAGGACAGCGGAGTCACTGACCACCTTCCGGAGACACATGAAACCCCACCTCTTTAAGGAATACCTGGGATAGTATAAACGTAATCCTCCTGAGGAGTACAGGAATCTTAACTTGTTTTAAATACATGTACAAAGTGTGTGTACTCACAATTTGCAGTTCTTCAACATTGTTGCACGTTGGAAAGGTACGACTCGTGAATCGAGGATTTTCCAAAACTTTTCTTTGTGTGCTCAGCTTGAAGGAGGACAACATAGTGGAATCATACTTGGTGACAGTGGGTATGCACAGACCAACTTCTTGTTCACCTCCAATCTTCATGCAATAGGAGCTGAGCAACAATGGTACAACCAAGCTCATATCCACACCAGAGGTGTAGTGGAGTGCATGTTTGGTGTATGGAAGAGTCGTTTCCAGTGTCTCAGAAACACATTGCGCTTTCAATCAAGAAGATGCTTGCATTGTCATAATTGCATCAGCAGTGCTTCACAATGACCTCAAACAGCATGACTGCCCAGATCAATGACCTCAAACAGCATGACTCCCTGATCAATGACCTCAAACAGCATGACTGTCCAGATCAATGACCTCAAACAGCATGACTGCCCAGATCAATGACCTCAAACAGCATGACTGCCCTGATCAATGACCTCAAACAGCATGACCGCCCTGATCAATGACCTCAAACAGCATGACTGCCCAAATCAATGACCTCAAACAGCATGACTGCCCAAATCAATGACCTCAAACAGCATGACTGCCCAGAGCCTCACATTGAAGATGAGGATGGCCCAGATGTTCCCGTGGTTGAGGAAGACAATGACAGAAATGGACTAGCCTGCAGAGATGTTTGTAACACAGAAAGCAGGTGCAGTTAGTTTAATAATAACGAACATAGACCAATACAAGATAAGCATCTGACATGGCAACAAAAACAATACTACCTGATGACTGATAACAAATGAGTACCGTATAAAGGGTAAGTAATCAAGGGAGTACTGAAGTCCAGGTGTGACTGATGATGAGACGCAGGTGTGCGTAATGATGGTTGCCAGGTGTGAGTATAGGTGGGTTGCCATGACCGGGGGGTTAGTAGACCGGCGACATCGAGCACCGGAGAGGGGGAGCGGGAGTGGGAGTAGACGTGATAATGAATTTGCTATGCAGCACTTCTCACAACAAAGGTAGCTCAAGTGATTGAAGCAAACAATAGCCATGGATTGGTAACAAAAACGTTTTTAATTCACAAATGGAAACATCGGGACCCCAAACTAGTGCTGGTTTGGAGACGAACATTGGTACTGCTGCTGCTTCCTGTTTCTTTCCTCCTCCTTCATAGACAACTCAACATGAAGGATTCACATATTCATATCTTGCTCTTCTTTTAAATACATTAGCTTTCGCTCATGAAATTCCATGGCCTGTTTCTCCAGCACGCTCAGCCTCTTTGTCCCCCGGCCCGGGTTGGGGACACAATCTTCCCTCCCCTGGCTGCTCCAGATGTAGCTGGCTGACCTTCATCCTGTTAAGACAAGTCCCCTCCAAGCTATGGTGATCATCTGCCTTTGATTGCTGCAGTAGAGAACATTATTTCTTCAAGAGTTGAGTTCATTACATAATTTTCATTATGGGAGCGCAGGAGGTGACTGACAACATGACTTATTCCCTGCAGTCCGGAGATGGCACATGTTGAATGAATGTGTCCTACCAAATGAGGATTGGAACAGTCCCCCATCTGAACTGTCGAAATGGTCATCATGGGGGATACCTTCCAGGGGTTGCTGGCTATCAATGATCCCGGTCAACAAGTCCTCCAGCTCATCTGTCTCTGGTCTTCCTGGGGGTCTTCCAGCAGTCCCCCAGCCCATCTGTCTCTGGTCTTCCTGGGGGTCTTCCACAAGTCCCCCTGCCCATCTGTCTCTGGTCTTCCTGGGGGTCCTCCACCAGTCCCCCTGCCCATCTGTCTCTGGTCTTCCTGGGGGTCCTCCACCAGTCCCCCTGCCCATCTGTCTCTGGTCTTCCTGGGGGTCCTCCACCAGTCCCCCTGCCCATCTGTCTCTGGTCTTCCTGTGGGTCCTCCACCAGTCCCCCAGCTCATCTGTCTCTGGTCTTCCTGTGGGTCCTCCACCAGTCCCCCAGCTCATCTGTCTCTGGTCTTCCTGGGGGTCTGTACCAAGTCAGCACCAAGTGCACATCGTTAATCTAATCAGGCTTCCAAAGATACACTTGTTAGTCCTTACTTACCTTAGTCGGGTACTCCCTAGTCTAGAACTTATTAATCTGAAGTTAAGCAACGTCTCAGAAAGCCATTTTTTTAAAATCTGGATTAATTTAAGGAGAATTAGCCTAGTCCTGATTTAAATTAAACTCTGTCCGCGAAACCGCACCATAATGTCATTTTATGTGATTGTGTTATTGTATTCAGTACAATTGCATAGACAACAGAGCAAACCGGTTTTCAAATAGGCCTAGTTTCCTCATGACAGACCAAATCAAATGAGAACCGGGGTTATTAGGAAGGGTAC